CCGTATTGAGAAATCTTGATTACCGGTCGATTACCACGTCTTTAACTGCTGGAGCACTATAACCGAGCATATTCCAAATCTGGGCGCAACTCCAACATTAAACCCGATATTAGATTTCAGTACAATAAACAATGGAAACTTGATGCAGATAAGACAGCTTTGATAATCCCTGTTCTGCCCCACTAGTAGTGCCTTCCCGGTTATACGCACATACTATTTGAGGTTGGGTATATGTTTTGTCTGATTGCGTAATGTGCTTGTCCAAGGATTTCAAGTATTGATACTGTTGATTTCTGGTAAATAACATACTGCAGCTGCCTGTTTAGGAACTGAAAGGGGAGACTACGATTTGTTTTGAGGGCCACTTCAATTTACCATTTTTCATTGTTCGAATTTACCCATCCAACTTACAGAGGCATGTGGCATCCACCAGTTAGCATGTAAGCTGACTGCCAACCAACTATTTGAACAATTAACCTTGTCTTAGAAGCTCATTCGGTGAAGTCCGGTGAATTTTTCATTGTTTCATTTCATGATCGTGCTGTATGCTTTGGCCGTATCGATCGACAGTCTGGTTGTCATCATCGAAAAGTTTATAACTGAACCTTGGTCTTGAAATGTCTGTGTAGGTACCATTTTCGGGTAAAGATTGTAACTGATCTTCCTTTTCATCTCATCCTATTATCCCGTTCTTGCCGAAATACACCTCCAGAATGTGAAATATTTTGTTTTATGCCTTCCACGTGTTCTTCACATTCACAATTACGCTTCTTCTCGTGGTCTCAATGGTCTATTCTTAAACCAAGTACAAGGTCAACAGAGCTCTAAGGAACTATATTGTGTCAGAAACCGCACTCGGTTTTGTACAATAATATTTGGCGTTTTTATATTCCACACGCTTTTGTCGCATAACACACTGTACCATAAAACTACTGCTGGATAAAGCTAATAACTTACCTTCAGACTTATGCGTAAGAATCGACTGAATTGGAGGATAAAAGATATAAAAATAAATCTTACTTTCGTAAATCTAATGGCATATGGATGATGAGCCGATGCAAGTGATGCACACAGTTTAAAGCATCTGTGCAAATTGCAAACATTATTGGTCAGGCTAATGAAATTTTTATTATGGAAAAAAGCTCACAAATACTTCGATTGTCAAATCCCATAGGATGTTTACACTTTGGTTCGGAACACGAGTCACAATAGCACAGTTAGTCCATGAATGTAAAATAGTAATGTAATGTTTGTGACGAGCAAAGGAGAATATATTATGTAGTTGGGTGTTGAAACATGTTTGCCAGAGCATCATCAAGCTGACGCTTGAAAGATGCTAATGTTGGCGCACAGACCACTTGAGGTGGTAGAGTTCCATTTGCTGCACACTTTGACTGAAAATGAATGGCGCCTGCAGTCGAGACCGCTCTTTTAGAGTGCCAACTTCAGTCACTGCCTTCTGACATGAACATTGGTTGATAGAACCAAAAGAAATCTGCATGGATGATTGGGTTGTTGGAAAATACGATACAGTAAGATCATATCGCCTGTGATTTGACGATATCGAGACGAGTATAGCCCCAAGAGTTGTAATCTTTCGCCATAGGTCTTGGAATGTAGACCTT